ATTATACAAGTAGACTAGAAATTTCCTTTTGAATGAAGAGAGTAATGACACAGTTATTTGTAGTTAGACCATGGGTTCTTTCTTGCTAAAATATGGATTTATTACACTCATTATTATTACAACCGTTTTCTTGCTTGCAGTTGTTATAATCTTGATCATTCTGACACTGGTAATAGCTGTTCCCTTCACACTGGTGTCTAAGTCTGCTACCACTCTCTTCATCACAATCAGTTACCATGCACTTCCATATTTCTTGGTTAAGAGTTAATTGCCCCATGCAACTTTCACCTCACAACGGGCTTGTACATGACTGACTGTCCAACCCAGCTTGCTCTGTTTATATAGGGGTTACGATGACCAGAAAATGGTCGTGGTCAGTAGAGAAAGTACAAACTTTCTATGCATTCCTCAAGATTCACAGAACATCAATTGATAAAGTAATATACAACTGAACAGCTGCCAGAAGGGACTAGAAGCCCTGTGGTGACATCATCACAGCCAGCCAAGTATATGCACAACAGAGGATTACTATTCCATATTGCACACATATAAATCCAGATCACCCTCTTTCTGCATACCTTTCCATCATGTTTCACAGTTCTGCAAGATCCTATTTCTCTAGTTACAAGAAAATGGCAAAATCAAAAGCTTGTGCACCAACTCTTAATATAGATCACATGCCTCTTGTCAGCACCACTACATACAATAAAATCTAAAACAAATCCAAATTTCACATCATATGGGGAAACATTTTTGAAGTCAAATCTGTCTCTCAGAAGGATATATCAAAAACTGACATGTCCTTTCAGGATAAAGCACTTTCATCAGTACATAGATCCTCAAAATGCTGAATTATGGCACTGAATTTGCTCCTCAGCATCTCAACAATCGTCGCCCTCGGTGGACTAGTGGTTAGCATGCTCGCCACTGGACCCAAGGTTCACAGGTTCAAACCCGGCTGAGGTCGATGGATTTTTAAGGGTGATAAAAATCCATAGCACAACCTCCTTTGGAGGGAAAGTAAAGCTGGCAGTCGCATGTCGTAGATTCATGGAATGTAAAATGTAAGCAAGATTCAGGGGCCATTTCTTGCCCAAGTCTCTCCTGATTCACTACTAGATTGCTCTAGCAGAGAAATCAGGATTGAGTAGAAATTGTGCAAAGACAGTGGGATTGACACTCACTACTCATAAATGCACATTTCAAAGACAAATAAACTTCCCACATGGAGGAGGCTAAGGCAATGTCCTACGTAAGCGATAACAAGCAGGCTGTGCGAGCTGCGTAAGCAGCATGGGGTGTCATATGACATAAGGGAATCACTTGTTGTATCCTACGTGAGAGAAACACACGGCCTTCCTGTGCATGCCCCTTCCGTGTACTGCATGGTCAGAGCTTTCTTGCGCATGCGCATTACTGGCCAGCACAGCAACTCGCACGGAAATATCAAAATATTTGATCTCGGACTTTGGCCGCTGACTGCTTCGCTGTAACATAGGACAGCGCCAGACAAACAGCCAGTTTGATATTTCCGCTTCACCCACGCAACTCGCACCGCTCGCATTCAGTCGCTCACGTAGGACACCGGGTAAGGCTCGGTTTGGGCTGTTGCACCATAGAAAAGAAAAATGCCAACAATTGGTCTGATTTTCTATAGCTTGTCACTTTCATGCTTCTCACTGCTGTCTCAGAAGTGTAAAATTCTTAATAATAAAAGAAACGAGACCTGTGACATCAATTTATTAAAGTATGGCAATTATATCAGAGTCAGCAGTAACATTCTCTTTCATTTCATTCTTTTCTGTTGGCTGTTGTTTCATTATGATAGTTACAATATCCACGTCCAGGCCTGCACTAAAACATTCCAATTCCTTAGGGTCTTTAGATAAAATCCTGTCACTTATGCCACAATATAAAATAATTTAGGATTTCATATAGAATTTCACTTCTAAAATCACTGATATTTCTCCACCTCGTTTTTGCACCTTTACTGTAGAATTTGTTGCAAGTGGTTCAGATCCACTTGTAACACTCTCATGTTCAAGTTTAGAATCCATTCTAGTATTACTGTGATCAAAGTCTGGGATGTCAGATTCTAATGTTCTTAAAACATATATATCCTTTACACAAAGCCAGCTAGCCTATTTCCTACAAGCCATAGCTCACTAGCCTGGTTTAAGATCTGTCATAATTCATAATATTCACACAAAAGAAATATAACAGAGGGATAAAGAGAAAAAACAAACTGAAAACTTCGTGCAATCATTCCTAACAGAAGCTACTAGTCATCAGGAAAGCAAAGATTTACCATGAAGGTCATAAATCATACTACCTATTCAAATATCTCTAGAACCTTCTTTCATTTTGTCTACGTTTCTTGTACCTTCTTAACCAAAGAAACATAAAACAGTGCATGCTATCTTGACAGATAAAACACAATTACTAAATACATATGACAACAATTTTAACAGTTATAAAAACAAATATAGTTCATCCAAAAACACAACTAAATCATTATTTGTAATAATATGGCAGAAACAAAAGAGGATTGAATTTGCCTTAATCATCACTCAAAACACAGAGTGCACAAGAAGTGTTTCAACACAAAACACTCACAGTTCCAATCTGACATTTTACAGGGTAAAAAAATCTATTTTAGGCATAACAATTACAAAAGAAATGGAAAGGCACATTCAAATTTGGAGTACAGATGGTTCTAAATGCATTGTGTAAATATTCAGTCCTCACTGTTATTATTTTAATTTATTTTGAATACAAAGCATAGATGCATACATTTATTTTCCTTGTATTCAACAAAATATATATACTACATAAAGATATTTTCAAATAAAACAGAAGTATAGATTACAATGGAATCTAAATTTGTAACATGTACTTTCTTTTTGCACAACTGGCTGTTTCCAAGATATACATTAAAGTTTTATTTAACCTTCATATAAAAGGATTACAGTAGAGGATATGGGAACATAACAGCTTTTAGTTTTGATCCCCAAACTAAATTATCTTCAGATCTGTTAAGTGGTTTTGGGCATGAAATATATGAATGGACATGACTGCTCCTTACCTGACTATTTTATGCACTTGAGTCAAATAATAATAAATCAACATCTCCTCCTTCTCCCAGCATAAGAAAGACCTTTCAAGTAATTCTGCAATATCACTTGATCTACCTACATCATGAATATCAGATGGAAAGACTGCAAGATCCATCATCAAGTACAGTATAAGACAGCAACCCAGGATAAGTGCTGCCCCCACCAATGCTGACATCTTACGCACCCGCATTGGGACTCTTTATGCTTGACACTCACATGAGTACAATCTGAAATTGAATGATATAAACATTTCAGAACACACAGATTTGCTACACTTTGTACATTTCTGATAATTTAATTGCTGCATAATGAATATATGAAATATCTTATCAAAAGTATGAAAGAAAGAGCAAAAAGGTCACACAGACAAAATAATTTGTCATCTCAACTTAATGTCACAGGTGCAAAAACAAAAGTTTACGATGTACTGTCACAAGTGGCACATGGCCAAGGGCAATATTATATCAGTTACATATAACATAATCACAAATTCACACATGATTAGGGTTGTGTTTAGAGTTATTGGTGCTGTGCAACAGTAAGCATAATAGATTATTCTGAAGGATATTGATGATAGTGTATTGTAAAATTTTGGACATTATCCATTGTCTGTTGTTTCTCATAACATGATGTTTCAGGGACTGGATCTGTCTCTGTCACAGGTAAAATAAGGGGGACAAAATGGCTCCTACTATGTGGGGTCCCTTAGAAGGAGTTAGTTATCAGGTAAAATAAAGGGAACAAAATAGTTCCTAAGAGACCCCATATAATAGGAACCCTTCTGTCCCCCTTATTTTACCCGATGACAAAAGACACATTCACTCCCCAAAATGTCAAGTTATGAGAAACAACAGATGATGGACAACACAAGGAATAAAAATCAGCTTCATAGACTAATTGCCAACCTCTCATGTTTTCAGAAGAGTGCATATTATGCAGGGATCAAAATTTTCAACAGTCTACCATCAAATCTCACAAGTCTTGTAAATAAAAAGGCACAATTTAAACCAGCATTGAAAAGATACTTAATTACACACTCCTTTTACTCTGTCGATGAATTTCTAATGTTTACAAGTAAGTCGTAATGTATCTGTTGTATATAATGGGTGGATTTATTTGTAACTTATCTCTACTTCATGTGAATCCTTTGTTTGTATTTTTGTGACATTTATATGACTTGTATTTGTATAACATGTATTGTATTATTATGACTTATTCTACATCCTATTGTTATCTGACTAACTTATGGATCCATGGAATGTAATAAAGATGTATGTATGTGCAAAATTTTTGCCAAAATCAGTAAGCAGTTTGCAGTGTGTAAGATCCAATGTATATACAATATGACTAATCACCTCACCCTAAAAATACTGTCACTTCATCATCGCAGAAGGGTAGAAGCAGAATTATCTAAATAAGCAAAAATGAATGCAGTGCTCTGACAAATTAAAAGGGTTTTAGATCTATTGGGCACACAAAACAATCACCATACTATGTACATTCTGAGCTATAATATGGACAAGACATATCATTTTGTGTGTTACCTTCAGAGATGGTAGTATGCAATTAGTGAAGGTGCTAGCATATGTTAATGGACACTTATTTTTAAAATTTAATACACTGCTCTAAGTCCAAAACCTTGGAGAACAAACAATAATGAATTTCACTGGTAACATATAAGCATAAACTTGTACAATACCTTAAACCAAGCCAAATGAAAGCTAAGGACTAGACAACAGCCAGATAATGTGTAAATTTTGTCACTACATTAATCTCTGCGTGTCAGGAAGCATTTTAATTTATTATTAATTATGTACGCAAACTTGTTAAAATTTTAAATGAACAATTAAAGAAGCATTTGTTCATGCAGTATTTGTTCCCAGTGCTGCATCCTGTATAGTAATATTTCTGCATTGTACAACATGTTTAACATGCAAAGGGTTATTTGTGACAGAACCCCTGAAAATAAGTAATTTACTTTGGGGAGGAAAGAGTTGGCAGCATAAAAACTGGTAGTAACATACACTGCTGGCTGAATGATGACCAACACATATCAACAGCAACATGAAACACAAAGTATATGCAATATCACACATCAGCATACAAACATAGTGTCTAGCCCATTAAGGCCCAATGGTAACTATATGTCCCACCTGCTTCAACTATCAATAACTCTTCATTTTGTATTTATGGGTTTCGTATGATTTTCCGCATAAACAGGGCTTATTTGTTTAAACAGAATTAACCAGATGATTTTTTGTAACAGTAAAGTATTGTGTTTTCTTTAATGGACTGAATTCTTAATTATTAGTTATACAAGCTTCAGCTTCAAAGGGTCAATGTACTGATGTTTCAGAGGTATATGCTGCCTCCACTGACAGGGCAATGATGGAGGCAGGATATATCTCTGAAATGTACGTAAAATTCTTCAGACTAAACAGCACTACAACTCAGGTGACACCCATCCTCATACTTGCTGCTGTGAGAACCTGAAAATCATCATCACATACCTCATTGCAACAAACTGCCCATCACGCTGAAGCCAACATCTTCCAACATACTTTTTCATTCACAACTGTTTGCCCAAAACCAAAAGGTTATCATCAATTTCAACATTTTACGCAGGCAGTCTTTATAGACAACACTGAATGTTACCAAGAAATTTAATTCTCTCAGCTCTAAGTTACCTAAAGTCAATAATATTTATTTTGAAGTCACTGCTTCAGAGCATCTAAATTCAAGTATAGAAATGTAAAACTCTTTGGACAATAGCAGTGAACTTAAATATGCAACTCTAGTCCTTTATGGTGCCCTGACAAGATCAACTTACTAGTTTTGATGCCTAGCAGGCTGACGAAGGTTTGCAGCAATACCCATGAATCCCTAAGAGAAATAAACAAACTGAGTTCTCATGCAATACAAAACATAATACATGCAACAACATACAATGTGCCCACAAAATTTGATATAAAATTGTTCCAATATACTTGTAATAACCTGTCTCGGTAATACATAATAACAAGTACATGTCAGAGAGTTGGAAAACAAACTACATATAACCATATTTCTAAGAACCAATCAATTAAAAATTCAGAATTAAAATAGATGGGACAGATACACAAGTACAATGTACCGTGACAAACAATGATCTATTGTGCATCCCCATCACTTACCCCACCAGCAATCAGCAACCATGAACATGAAGTGCAATAATTTGCTGAGTGATACCTTATAATAAACACTACAATTGAAGAAATGAGCTCCTAAATGACATAACCTAAGATCTGCAACAGCACAACACATGCTAGACCATTTCATTACGATCAACTAATCCAAATTTCTATAAGTATCCTGAGAGATAGTAACCTGTAAAGGTCATGTTGTAAATTTTAATTGGCTCCTATTCTGCAGCACAATTTCAAAGTTCTGTTTAGTGTTGGTACTATTAGAATAAGGGGCTTTGCATGTCCAACATTCCAAGTTCCTTCTATTCTTCCAGTCCCTTACAGCTATATCTGAAGGTCGAAAGCAGGCTCATATTCTACATACAAAGTTTCAGATCCCTGTTTTGTCAATATAAGTTGGCCTATAATACCCCGTGTTCAAGCACCCAGACTAATTTCGAGTTAATCTGGAAGGAGTCAAATGCTCTTACTGCAAATGTTCCTATTCGTATAGTTTCTGAGGCTGACCTAATGTCAATAAACTCTTGCACACCTCATTACAAAACGGTTACTTACAAAGTAGATAATACTACTATAATTGTATTGACAAACTAATGGCACGCAGACTACACACGAAAAAGTTACAGACCAATTTAGCCAAAACATTAGTCTCTTTGACTTTATAATTGAATCTGAATTACTGCAAGTTTTATACACTACAAAACTGTACTTCCACTTCGACTTACAGACCTGAAATCAAGTCAATTTGTCAAGGCATCAAGTACTTGTATTTGTCACATACTTAATTCAGCTCCATTGTGGCAAAGGTACATACATCCTTACAGCTGACGGTTGGACACGACGATCTTAGCAATTCATAACCCATGGTAGGTTATGTGTGAACCATAGCCAAGGCCGTGTGGCAAGAAATAATTTGAAGAAATATATATTGAACTAAAATCGGAAGAAGTGGGGCACTTATTTCAAAGCAGTTGCTTAAATGAAGTATTAGTATGGCCATTAGAGTAGTGATATTGAAAATGTGCTCGGAACGCTATTCGCGGCACAAGTACTGTTAACTAGGCACAGGAATAGGTTATGACTATGTGTAATTTCTGGGTTCCGTATGAGCATATTGTTTAATAATTCACACTGCTTTACAATTAAATTTTTGTTCCCGATTTGGTGAGGTAATTTGCTCGGTTCGGAGAAATAATTATTTTTGCTCAGGATTTCCATAGGACATGAAAATATTGTTTTTAACCATAGCAGATTTGTTAGATATAAGTATGTGTACAAGTTTCGCAGATCTCGGTAATGAACTAAATACAAGACCGCAAAGATAATGCACACAGATTTTCGTATCACACCACAAATTGAAAAGTTTGATTGCACATCATGGTGCAGACAGTAGTTGGTTTGTTACATTGTCGCTCAGTTCTGTCCAGAACTTTGCTCCAACAGGCAAGGCGAGCAGCACCTCTTAATTTACCTCACCTTCGATGGTTGTCTTCAAAAGGTAATTGTAACTGGAACACTTGACGGTGTAGTGACAGTCTACCTCATTTGAGTGCATGTTTGCATGACACCCTGTACTGTTAAATTTGTTATGCATTGTATTTTATTTATGCTTCTATACAGTAAACTTCAGTTATTGATTTGACGATAATTTTAGAAATAAGATTACAAAAGTATATCAGAATATGAAGAGAAATATAACTTTCTTGTTACAATTACAATAGCTGGTAAGCAAGCAGTGCAGCTCTGTCAAAACTTCAAACAAGCAAAGGCATACATAACTGGGCACAATATTTAAAGATACACCTTAATTTTGCACAATTTTACCTCATAGTCTTGAAGACAGTTGAAAATTGCAGCTTAATAAACATATGAATTATTTTCAGTGTATATTTAGTAAATAATACCATCAGGAAAGTCAAAGAAAATCAGGGTGGTTTGGAATTGAATGGCATAGCAGCTATACTGATGATATAAATACTATAAAAGCAAACACAGAAACACTTTTAACAGGTAATAGGGATGTTAGTCTAAAAATAATGCAGAAAAGTCAAATTATGTGATCATGTTCAGCATCAGAATTCAAGACAGAACTAGAATATAAGGTTAGCTAATGAAGATATTTGGACCTAAAAGGGAGGCAGACATCATGGAGAAAATTTCATAGCCTGTGTTCCCCATGTGATATTGTTTGGGTGATTAAATCAAGGAGGATATGTTGGGTGGGACATGCATAAGGAATGAGGGAGGGAGGGTAGGTTGGAAGATAATGTTAAGATAGACCTTAGGGAGATAGCAATCAATGGAGTGAACTGGATGCAGCTGGCTTCAGGATAGACTCCAGTGGTGGGCTTATGTAAGCACAGTGATGAACATTCAGGTTCCATTAAGAAAGTGGGCTATTCTTTGATGAGTTGAGTATACAATGTAATTTTCAAGGAATTTCCTGCACCATATAATGAGTGTGAGTGAGTGAGTATATTTAGTAAACACAAAAGACAGTGGTTATTTATTCTATACAGTTCTTTTTAAATAAACATCTGGACTATGATCTGTTAGCTTTTGCCATGTAGTTTTTTGTAGTCGTTACAACTACCAACATTTTGGAGAAATTTTCCAAAAAGTTGATAACCATCTGCAAAAATACATAGAGTCTCTATTTTCACCAATGTTAAAACCTCAAATCTCATTTAAATAAACATGTTACCATACTAATTAGAAAATATAAATTTTAAAATTATATGTATGAAGTAGTAATTTACTACAGTATGTAAATTTTTAATATTGATTTGTGTAATATTTTTCAGAGATTATGCAGCCCTCGGCAGTAGACACTCAAGATTTCTTGTTACATGATATAAAATCCTCCACAGACACTACAAGAGTTATGCAGATTATAGGGGCCCATTACACAATCATGAACAACAGACATATTATGCAGTCACTGAAGAGCCTCTTTGATTTAAAAAAGTCAGGAAAGTTAGTATTGAATTTGTTGTGTTAAGAACAGTTGCTGAAAAGACATTGTATAGACATAGATATCTGTAACATATGCTGTTCTGTAGGAGATAAATGGATTGAATGATATTATTATTACACATTGTTGTGCTAGTCATGCAGCAGACTGGGCAGGCCAAGCTAAATATAGGTTATGTAAATATTCTTCTATTCTACCCAAATAAGGATTTGTATGCTTTATATTCTTAAGGTGTTCTGTTACACAGAAACATCATTTTATATGTTTTATGTGGCTGTGAAACATTGTTTCTTTGTAGGAATGAAAATTTAAAACCCTATGAAAAAACATTATAAGAAAATATTTGAACCTGCAAGAGATTAAGTGGGAATGTTACAGCACAAGGAATTATTTTGTTTGCAAAACTTTTGCATTTCATTTGAAGTGCAGGAGTGCTAAAGGCTAAACACAAAAGAATAAGAAGCATAATAGATCATAAATGGATGTGGTGCTAGGAATGCTAGCAGTACTTGTAAAATACAACATTTTGCCACCTAACATAATTACTAAGGACTTTTTATATAAGCTGTGTCATGTCAATATTTTTCCCAAGGTCTGTACCCATTTAAATATCAACTCCGTGAGTGCTAGCAAACACACCCCTACAAACATGAAACTATTTTTTATATAATGCATATGCACAAGTTATACAGCATCAAATGACAGGACTAATGATGAATTGAATGTATGCAGAAGGAAGTGGTCATGATATATTTTGAGGTACTGTCCTTACGTGTCTGAATGAACTGAGGAAAACCATAAAAATCCTGAATCTGAGACTTTCATAATATGAAGTGAGAATGCTAACCACTTGATGATATTTATTGTTATTTGTTAACTAGTATTACTGGGATCATTATTTAATAGTCTGTGTTGACACTGTAGCTTCTTTGTTTCTGTGTTTCAGCTGTAGTATGACAAAGCAGCAGATTATTAACAGTCCTGACTTCATCAAACTTTGTAAACGTCTGAAATCACAAGCTAGAGGTATCAGTCTTAATGATACAATAGAAGCATTGAAAGTTGTGTCATATGTTGGTGTTCCTGCAAATAGTACCATTGTTCAGATTTTGCTGCAGCTTGTTCGTCATCGGATCAATGATCTGTCACTACATCAAATCATCTTTCTAGAATTCATGATGAGAAACTTTGAGAGAAGTCCTCTAGTGGATGCATTACGAATTGCTTTTCCTTTAGTGTTTGAAGCCCAGCTAAGTCTAAAAATGGCTTATGATGATGTCACAAGTTTGGCTGAGCTTCTTCAGTATGCCTGTAAGAAACGCCTTTCAGACTCCTCCCTCAACAGTATAATTGAGTCTCTTGAAAAACTTTCAGAGGATATAAATGTGAAAACAGCTAAAAGTGTAGTGTGGTCATTATGTGAACTAAAGACACCATTACCATCACACCAGGCACTCTTAACCAAGTGTTGGGATGTTTTAGCTCAGAACATAGAGGAGTGTTCATATGTAGAAATTGAGGATCTTCTGACCTGGATGATGAAGAAAATTTCAGGGAAACATACACATTTTTATCATGAAGGTTTTGCTGATAGTTGCGCAAGATATGTGGTGGCTAAAGACTGTGGCTTTGAAGAAGGAACCTGGGTTCTAAGAAAATTAACAAGAATAGTAAGGAAATTACAAAGTCCAGTTTTTATTTATACATATGACATAAATAGATGAATAAGTACAATTATTGTGCACATAATATATTTTTCTATTGAAGCTTTTGAGTTCAAGACATATTGCATGTGGAGTGGTCATTAAGTTTAGAGTGTGTTTTTAAGACATGGAAAAGAATGCGTTTGTAGAAAACTTATTAAATTCAAGAAGAAGGTGTATGATAACTAAACAGGAACATATTGTACATAAATTTTTAGCATAAATATGCTTGTAACATTATTGCACACAGCACAGTAGCATTACATACCCACATTAGGGTTGGGGGATGTTAGAAGGGGACTGTAAAGATCTAGTCAGAAACATGGAATGTTGGCTACACAGTAACATAGTGCCTTACATTACTAAAGACATATCATTGATTTAGAACAACATATTTTAAACTGGGGTGTATTGGACTGACCATAGTTCCGTATTATGTCACTCTACAATTTTCTCCTAGCCTTCACTTCCTCTGATTAAGGACTGAGCTCAGCTCCTCAGTAAGCTACAGTAATTATTGATATTTAATTCTTGCAAAATGCATTAACAAGAATTTCTCTGAAATACTTATATTGGGAGGATAAAATAAATTATAAAATTCTGTGCATAATTTGCACTGGTGTAGATTCTCAATACCTTAATGTTGTCAAAAGTAATTTAAACATTTTGCACTGTTTATAGTTTACAAAAGTCCCTGTACATTTTTTCTGCTAGCTTTTGCCATTAAATATGTTTTTGTTTCAAAATTCTTTCTTTTTCTTTGTGATAAACCATTCAGGGATGTCATTTTATTAGTTTAATTTTTTTCTAGTCTTGGGACCCTAACACCCATATATTTGTATTACTGTCCCTGAGTGTTTCTACTGATAGAAGCATGTTCTGTGTTAGAAAGACATCAGCAGTATATTAGATTGTCTTAGTAACATGCAAATGTGGTGTGTACCTGCTAAAAAGGAAGCTTTATTTATATTTTATGGTTCTTCTCATTCCCCTTGTCAAAAATTATAATGAACTTTTGTTCTCGATTCTTTCCTCACTGATGTGTCCCCACTTGAAAAAAATTACGAATCTTGGAATTTCATTGGTGGTGTACTCTATTCTTGGGGATCATCAGTGTGGGTTCAGATGTAACAGATCAACAGTTGATCAGAGCTACATTTGTCAGATACTAGAGAAAAAATGGGAGTACAATGGGACTGTACATCTATTGTTTATAAATTTCAAAAAAACCTATGACTCTGTTAAGAGAGAAGTGTTATACAATATTCTCATTGAATTTGGTATACTAAAGAAGCTAGTGATTCTAATAAAAATGTGCTTAAATTAAACCTGTAGCAAAATTTGTGTAGGCAATTATTAATCTGACTCCTCTCTCATCAAAAATGGTCTAAAACAAGGAGATGCTTTGTCTCCCTTGCTCTTTAACTTTGTGTTAGAATATGCCATCAGGAAAGTCCAAGATAGGCAGGAGGGTTTGCAATTGAATGGGACACATCAGCTATTGGCATATGCTGATGATGTTAATTTATTGGGGGACGATATAAATACAATAAAGAGGAACACAGAAGTTTTACTACAGGCTAGTAGACAGGTGGGGCCAGAAGTAATAAGTAGAAGTTAGTATCCCATCAGCAGACATGCGGGCAAAACCATATTAGGGTGGCTAATAAATGCTTTGAAAGTGTTTCAAAGTTCAAATATTTGGGAACAACAATAACAAGTCAAAATGATACTCATGAGGAAGTTAGGAGGAGATTAAATTCTGGAAATGCTTCCTACTTCTCAATTCAAAATATTTTGTCTTCCCGTCTGATTTATAAGAACCTGAAAGTTAAAGTATACAAAATGATAATTTTGCCTGTTTTGTATGCATGTGAAACATGGTCTCTTGCTTTGAGGGAGGAACATAGATTGCAGGTGTTTGAGAATAGACTGTTGAGTAGGATATTTGAGCCAAGGAGAGAAGAGGATGGGGTATAGATAAAACTGCATAGTGATGAACTTAAAAATTTGTACTTCTCCCTCAGTATTGTCAGAGTGATTAAGTTATAAGCTGGGCAGGCTGTGGCATGCATGGATGGGACAAGAGGTGTGCACCAGATATTGGTGGGAAAGCCTATGGAGACCTCGACATTGATCATAGATGGGAGGATAATGTCGGGCGGGATTTATGGGAGATAGGAGTTGAAGAAGACTGGATTTTGTTGGCCCAGGACAGGGTCCGGTGGAGGGCTTTGCTTAATTCGGTGATGAACCTTTGGGTTCGGTGAGCCATCTAGTTAGTTATTATAGTTATTATGAGGAGTATCAATATCCTGTTCGTGCCAAATTTTAAAGCCTTTGTTGAACCTTTTCTAGGCTTATCAGGGAATTTTATGCAGATAATAAGCTCAGCATCAGAGAATTCTGGTACCAGTTTAATATCAAAGTGTTGATTGTTACATGTTCCATATTTTATACATGGTAACTCATAGGAATGAAACTGCTGTGTATAATAATAATCTCCTGTACATATTCACTTTTCTGTTATCCACAGGGTCATATAAATATTAGTCTTATTGACTATATAGCAGAGAAAATTGTAAACAACCCTCAGATCTTGGAAGAGTGCAGGACTTCATCTTTTTTTAGTGTTGTATCAGGAATGGCTAATGCAGGATACAAACCAATGGGCTGGAACTGCATACAGGAAGCTCTCATGAAGAACAAGACTTTGATTAGAAAGGTGTGAGATGCTATTGTGATAATGTGTGGAATTAATTGTACAGTCTGTGAGAGGTAAGTAAAGTCTGTGATATATGCAGCCTGGGATGTCACTTGCTGTGCTACTAGCATACTGAATAAACATTGTACTTGCGATTTTCTGTAAACTTACAAGACTTGTAACACTAGAATTATTATAAAATAATATGAATAACACAAATAATGATACTACCAGCAGTGGGGCAGCAGAAAGTAATGAACCTGTGTGAGAAGTATCTATGTACCAAAGACCATTATTCTCTACTCAGGAATATCAGGATTTTGCATGTGCACATCACTTGCCAACCAGACCACTTACATCACAGATATTTACTTAACTCTTGTGGACTGTAGTTATATAGTAAGTAGGTAGTGGGTACAAAGATAGCTGTATTTTGGGTTGTAGCACTATGTAGTCTTGTTGAAATTTACCAGCATTTTTTGGAAATGGTAAACTTTTACGAGACTACAAAATGCTACAAACCAGAAGACAACTATCTTAGTTTTATTATAATTCACATTTGGTTGTAACCATTATCTTTATCTGAATTGGAGTTTTGTGCTATTTTTATCCATTGTTCAATTTTTATTATGAAGCCTCTGAACTGAACTGCATAAGTGTGTTCCCTATGTTGACACCTGGAATTTTTTAGCAAAGGTGTTGCACATTTTTAATCAGATAATTATGTACATGGTGCAGGACTGCTTGTTAACACTTTACCACCATCTGTAATGTTTACAAAGATCTACAATAAAACTGTTTTGTATGAGTTTTTCTAAGGTTGAAGAATTCTGAATGCTATCAGCCTGAAAATGTGATTAGGTTAGGGCATGCATGTACAGGGAATGGTCTGCTAGGAAATGCCAGTAGAATATGTATGTGTGAATAGGTTGTGTAACCTTGAATGTTAGGATGATTGTGTATGATAAATTGACAAGTATGAAAAAAATCAATTGTGTCCTGCTCTTATGTATTATCCAAGTATTTGTATAGAGAGACTGAGGACAACCTTAAAAAATCTTAGGCTGGATAGCTGGTTACATGGCCAAGGTTTAGACCCATCTCCTTCCAGATACAAACTAGGAGTGTTAAGTATCATAATATTATACCTTTACATGTGGCTTGTTGTACAGGATAAAATGGAATTGCCATGGATCAGACTGGCTCTGGACTTTGCAGTCTTGGATATATTTTGTCCAGATCTTCTTCAGTATATCTTTGAGAAGGAATTCTTACAACAGTTTCTTTCTAGAGGTAATGCTTGTTACATCCTTCTGAAACATTTCCTTATTGTGAAGGGTGGCATATAGGAAGGGCTTAAATTTAGAGAAGTCTGCCCTTTTGGGTACATGTGGCATGTTGAACTGAACCAAGAACTGAGTATTGGAGAAAAATTCCTTTGTGAGTTCAAAATTGACTACAATACCATATTTCCCCAATTTTAAAACTTTTTTTGCATTTCAAAATTTCTGAAATCAGGGTGCATCTTACTTTTGATGGTGTCTAAGAATCAGTGTTGAAAAATTATGTCGTATGTCTAAAGTGCAAGTTTCCAAAATACTAGTCGTGGGGTAGTAAACACAAAGATAGCAACAAAGAGGTTTCCAAAAATACTGATTCAAAGAAGTTTTATGTTTGAATATTCACATTTCCTATTGCAATATATGTATTGTTGAAAACCTGTTACTAAGTCAAGGGTGCATCTTACAATCATTTGTGTCTTTTTTCCTGAAAACCTATTACTATGTCAAGAGTGTGTCTTTCTTAATTATGATTCATGTTAGCTGTTGATATAATGAGATTAGATAGGTGCAATTCATACTGTAGCAGAATTTCCATGTATGTTCTTTGCATTGTAGCATTCCAAGTGCTCCTAGCTGTTGCGAATAGCTTTGATAAAGACATCACGTCTTATTCACAGAATAACTGGAGTACATTGCAATCCAGTTTACGTATTTTCCATTGTAATTGTTATTGTAACTTTTAAACATTCATTTTGATCTTTCTGCTTTACTGATGATGTTATTCTGACACCATGTAGATACATAGGTATATACCAGTTTTTCTGAGGAATATACTGAAATGGCAATGCTGGGAAGTTAAGAGGTTTTTTGAGGGTCAGAAGAAGTTTCCTTCCTGGGCCAGTTAGAATTGAGGAAGGAGGATAAGTTATCTATGCCAATAGGGTGTTTCATATAAATCTCTCCACTTCCCAGCATCAACAATTAAGCCCTGAAGATGGAGACAGTATGTTTCTCCAAAACATTGCTATAAACCTATGAATCTACATGGCATCACAACTCAGAACAACAACACTGTCATCCTCACCATAAAACCTGAAATCTCATTTTTAGCTATATTGCTCTACTTGCCAGATATTGATTGTTAAGAAGATAGCATATTTTCAAATTGGGAGCCCTTGATTTTATATTACAGTCTATTCGGTGCATGCAGTATATGTCAAGAGTTTTCTTAACCTGTTAATTTTAGGGAGAAATATTCCTAAAGTGAAAATATTTATTATTTTAATTTGGCTTTATAAATTTTATGTTGTTAATATCGTGTTTAGACAATGAAAATAACAAAATGCTCTGGCATGTTGGACTCAGATGTAGATGGTCATTCTGTCAAATTTATTTATTAATGGACTTGCTGTCAACTCCAGTACCAGCACCTTATTCACAAGAACATGACACATCATATGAAAGAACTTGGCACAGGCTTGGCTTGTACCCCACAGAATTGAATTATATGTACTATAACAGGATTGTTATTTCAGAACAGTTTTTTTTTAATTTTTCAGAGTACAGTTTGTTAGATCATCTACAGTTATTGTTACTGTATCAGGCTGTAGTAACATTGTATCCTACATATTCAGGGGTACTTCCACCACAGAACATTATTGATATGGTGATAGCACACAATGGGGACCACATGCAGAACTTCCCACTTCAGGCTGCTATGGAGAAAGGAATGGGAGGCACATCATATGTTTGGACTAGACTTCTTACCAAACTTGGACACTTCATAGGTAATCATTAATATAGTAAGAATTATCAGATGAACATTCACTAGGATCTTCTTGGTCACTTGCACATACAAGTTCTCAGTTAGTTGCTGTTTGATACCTAAGCTAATACCTGCCTGAAGCTCAGGCTATTATTTTTGTCCTGCGTTACATTGAATTTCTGTGGTGTGGTACATATGATGGTCAAAATACTAGTATTTTTATCTGTAGGACAGTTTATATAATTTGAATAAGAGACAGTTAACAAAAATGGGCAAATTCGCCCTTTGAGATGGCATTAAAAATGTGAACCTGTATATCCTTTACTAATATACGAGGGTTAGTCAAATGAAAACCGTAAAACTGAGATAAAAATTCGAAATATTGCGCCATTGTCCTATAAGTTGGCAGACATGTTACCAAAGCTATAAAGAGTATCCTATAGGTGACAGTATAGTGCAGACAAACAGAACGCCATCACAGTGCCAGTTTGAAGATGGCTGCTCCACTAGTTACATGCACGAAAGAAGAACAACGTTCTGTAATTCGTTTTTTGATCAGTGAAGAATCTTGAAGAATCATCTTCGACCTGCAGTCAGATCAAAGCGACGTGGACTTTTGACTAGAGGTGTCCTTTTGCAACATGACAATGCTTGGACCCACACTGCCGGTGCAACAGTTGCAACAATCCAAGAGTTGCACTTTGAGTGTCTTCCACATCCGTCATACTCACCAGACCTAGCCCCAAGTGATTACCACATGTTTGGGTCACTCAAAGAGGCGATGGGAGGAAAGAAGTTCCGTTCTGATGAAGAGGTACAGCAGGCGGAGGATGAGTGATTGCGCAGACAACCACAGAACTTTTTTCTAGAGGAATCCATACACTTCATAAAGGCTGGAGGGCCTGTATTGAACGAAATGGAGACTATGTAGAAAAACGGTGTAGTTGTGTATCGCTTTCACTCAATAAATTAAATTTAAAAAAAATTACGGTTTTCATTTGACACACCCTCGTACAATGTGTTTTAAATCGAGTAGACATCATCAAGGTAGCAGGGCTATCACAGGAACTTGGAAAATGGTTTAAATTTTGCATACTTAATAAGTATAATTTTACTAGTAATATTAATTAAATCAATTATATTTTTAAAATAGGGTGACCAGATTTTAAAAACTAAATAACTGGATATCTTTACCAATGATGTCTAATTTACAATGGATGATTTTGCCGATACTGTTTTAACTAAATTTATATTTTAATTAATTTGTTCATTAATACTTACAGAATTTTGTTTGAAGTTAATTTCCAGTCAGTGTTAAAGGAGTTGTTCATTCCTTTTGGGCAGATGCTGTGTACTTCCTAGATGAACAAATTTCTTGAAGTCATTTGGGTTTGTTTGAAAGAAGTTGTTGCACAAATGTTCCACTAAATCTGTTTTTGTTCCTATCACTGGTTTGATGATTTTAACAAGGAAACAGTTCTTTTCATCAGTCCACAGAGCATTTGTGATAAAAAAAATACTCTCTCTATAGCTGCACTAGAACCAGGAATGGCAAAAGGGAATTCCAAAATGAGTTGTATGTTTTTTAATGAAATCCATTCACTTCACTCAAACTCAAATATTTCAGACATCTTTCAAAAGTTGTAAGTGATTTTGTATTCCATTCAACCATTCTCGTTTTACTTATGAATACATTAATCAAAAAGTCTATCTTCATCTAAAATCGTTGTTATATTTTTGTCAACAGCAATATGCTTTACACTGTGTAGGATTTTCTCCAAAGTAGGACTATTCTTAAGTAGTGTCCAGTGAAACATATGCAGTGGGAGAACATTTTTACTCCATTTTTATAAATACAACATAAGAGTGTTGTAAAATGAGTTGGCTACTTCAGTGAATTGTTCATTACTGTAAACATCTTCAACATCTGATAATAGTGATATAAGTTTTGTGGAAATTTTCATCTCCCCTGCTTTTCATTTTGTTTGACAAAATATGTAGTTCTATGGTTACTTCATTGCCTGAAATACTGTCACTTTGTATTTTCTTCATGGATATAAACCCAAACAAGGGATACTGAATCATTAAACATTTTTCTCAGCATCGTCAGATATTATTCATGGGAAAGGAAATATTACTTCAATGTGGGAAACCTGGAAATAACTCTGGTTATTGCAGATTGAAGTGGGAGCCACCTGGTTTTTACACTTCCAAGAATATGTTTGTATTCAACATCAACAAAGTCACAAAAGTCCTTCAGTTCCTCCACCCGTACTGTATGTATATATATATGTGAAAGTACTGGAATATTTTATTCGCTATGGCCTCAATGTCAATTGTGGAATGTCAACGCTTGTCTGAAGTGCATTATGCAAAATATAGGCAGCACATCCTATACCCTGAATGTTTATTTTTAAATTGCTGATCTTTATCTTGGCATAAACATGGACTGTTTCTCTCCTTGCAGCACCTCCAAAATTTGTATTACACTTGTCCCCACAAAAGGCAATAATTTTATCTCATAGCTTGTATTTATGCAGTACATTTGTTGTGTATGTCGTTAACACATCAGCCATTTCACCTTTTCAGTTATGAAATTCAATCACTTTAGTTTGAACTCTCATCTCTGGAGTAAAGTGTGGAACTAGAACAGGCACTAACTTCAGATTTTTGTGATCTGATATAAAATTTTCCAGTTCTTCTAAAATCTGTTGCATGGTGAAAGGGGCCAAGACATTTACTACAGTGGATTCACATTTTGTTTGACCACATGAAAACGTTTCCTCGTGCAATCTTATCACTGAGGTTGTACAAAATCCATATATTGAAAGGAATGGTTGTGTTTTACTGTGTGGAATGCAAACAGTCGTTTTTCAGTTGCAAAATGTTTACACTCATCGCTTATAGTTTCTATGGTAAAATAAGACGTTACTTTGTTACTGCAACTCGTAGTTTCTATAGCAATTGCATGTTTTCTTTTCTTGATATATTACAGTATATCGGAACGACCTCCATGCTCTATTGAAAATTGTGATTTGCATGAGGAGCACAGCACTTTTCCCACTTGTTGATTTTCCTTTAAAAACGGGTACTCTGCTTTTAAACTCTCAGTAAAAAACACATCATCTTTTCAGCATATTGATGATTTTCTACCCTTAACAATACAATTATATTTAGATTTTCTTGTTCTTACACACCACAACCGAACCACTCAATAGCATATCACATACTAAAATAAAAATATTATTTCAACTACAAGTGCAGATTTACTCTCTAACAAAGAAAGTTGTCAGTAACCTGTTTAGTGAGTAGTGTTGCCAATAATTCCCTAAAAATGGAATTCAAATCATAATTTAAACAGTGATACCGTGCACCATAATAATATAATATGGTGTAAAACACAAGTTTACATTATATTTAACTTTATTTATGCAGTTTTTATGTTGATAATTTCATTTTCATGCTTCTGCTGAGATTATCTCATTGTTTAAACTTATTTGTTACTCAGCTCCGATACATTTAAATTGAATAATTTAATTGCGTCTAGTTGCAGGCGTTCTCTCACAGCTGACATATAAAATGATCTGTTATTGCTCAGATTTAATTTCACAAAACAAAGTAAAGCCGACAACAATACATGCATTGGTTTATTAAGGTATGAAGGTGATTTTTATTCTAAGCATCTAAGCTCCAACTGCTGCTTGTATGCCATTATGAAAAATCTGTATCAGTTTTAACAAATGGTACTGTTGAAAAATGGGACTATTTGGCATCCCATTTTATACTTGCCAGGACACATCCCTTAAAAATGGGACATCTGGTCACCCTGTTACAGAAATATTATATAAGGTGTGATTTTATGGATACCTACAAATTTGGTATTTAATTTATCTGGACCTTAAATGAATGAAACTTTCATGTTGTAATAGTTGTGTAGTGGAACTGTCCTGTTTCAGTTTTCATTAAAATCTGTCATGAGATTCAAAAAAATACACAAAGTTTATTGGAGCTTTTAAGTAAAGCATCCCTAAAGATGATTGAAGTAAATCACACATGAGTAACAGAAATGTCTCTCATAAAAGAAATATATTAATGGACTCTCATACTTTACCTGATGGATGAGACAAAGAATGAATAATCTTAATCTAATAGAACAGTTCTAAATCCTTTCATAATTTAGTGTAGGTTTATGTGTAATTTTTCTGTACATTTCAGATCATCTTGTAGTGATGCGGAAAGGAGGGTATCCAGTGGCTTTGAATCAAATTGCCAGCAACTCTGCTTTAAAAACATACGTGGAAGATCTGTTGGTTCCTTCAGACAGTCAAATGTATGATCATTAGTATTTTGTTTCCAATTCAAGTAGAGTAGGCATTATTTTAATTAACCCTTTTCCCACTCAATTGAAAACACTTGTATGTGGGCTGTTGGCCCAGTTTTATCTGGATATGTGTATTCTAAATTAAATTTTTCTTTGATTTCCTATTTTAAAAGGAGCAGGGCCTTTTTAATTCTAATACACTTTAAAAGCTTCTTTGTTGATTCAAATGTGTTTGTAACAGAATACAAGATAATTTAATAATGTTTAATAAGGAAAATTTATGGTCTCTGAAAATTGCATCTTTAACTTGGCATACCATTAAGAAATAGCTGTACATGAACTAATACATTTTTTTAGTTGAAGAGCATTTTAATCCTGCCATCCTAATTGTGTGTACACATAGGAAACCATATAACTCAAAGACAATACACAAAACATGTCATCTAAAAATGTGGGGAAAACAGTTGGGTCCTATTATAAGTGTAATGTGACTGACACTGAAGAGGCTATTTTCTGAATCGATCTAATGCATTTTGATCTTGTTTGTTTTTCTGTCAATGACAGACGAATTCAGAACTCCATTGGAAAACCTAAAGAGTCCATTTAGGAAACCTAGGGCATAGATGGGAGAATAATATTGAAATAGATATTACAGAAAAATTATGTGAATAAATGACCTGAATTTATCTGACTGTAGATGAGGCCCTGTGGCAGACTCTAGTGAACTCAATAATGAGCACTTGGGTTTCATAAAATCAGGAATTTCTTGAGCCACAAATAGATTCTCAAGAATGGCTGTGCACCATGGTGTTAGTTCTTCCTCTGTCTATGTATATGTTGGCAATGTAATTCTTTATATAGGCCTTCTTGTAGTGATTTTTAATATTTATAAAGTATTAATATAAGTGCACTACAGTGCCTGGTGCAGAACAGAAAACCCAAAAATCACCAAAATAATAGTTAATAATTCAGTCCATACAGAAAAAAACTTTACCAGTCAAAGGTGATTTGATTCATACTTTATCATACTTAGTGAGAAAAGCAAACACTTATATTAAAAATTTATTACTGCTTTTACTCATAGCTATAGAAAGCTGAGAAATGTGTAGTCCTATGCTGGCTAGATAGGAATATATATTTCAGATTGCTAATCCACATTGAAATACATGGTTTGCAGTATTTATTCCATTAGAATAGTTTGCCAAGAACGTATTAACCAAGGTGAGTGTTATGATGTTAATAAGGTATGTTGTGTCAGCTGTTAAAAATTTCAAGATTGTGTGTACAATATGAACTTCAACATTTTATTTATATTATTGGCTATTTGATGACACTTTCAGTTTTTTAGATTCTGTAGTGTTATATGATAAGATTAGTGAGTAATGAATTGAAAAAGGATGTGGAAGGAATTGGCCATGGTCTGATAAAGGGTACCGTCACAGTATTTGCCTGAAAACACTGAGGAAAGCTCCAAAAGTCCACAGTCAGAATAGTCAGGCTGAGATTTGAACCTTGGACCTCCCATCCATGATTGCTGATCAAGCTTGACTGCTGTTTGGTAAATTCAGAGATAAATGTTGCAGATTGTTTTATTAAGTACTGAGCATGTTAGCTCACTGTAGCATATTTGAGTTTTATTTGGGAGGTATTTGGTTCAGATCTCAGTCTGGATATTTACAAACTTTTTTAGAGGTTTGTCATAATTTTATTTGTTCTTCCAGTCAGATGCCAGAACAGTACCATGAACTCAGTCACACTTTCATGTCTTTGTGATTCAACTGTTCTTTAAAAACCTTTCTCATCTCATTTGATTCTGCATGACCAGTGCAGCTCATGTGATGTTAATTCATCATCAATCATTTATGTACATTTGTCTAGGTTCCACATCAAGCTACTAAGAAACTGGCCATTGTTTGTAGTATGAGATTCATTTCTGCCTATTCACATGTTCTAATTTATGTTGATACTTTGACCCTATTGTATTTTTAAAAACAAATAGTTTTCAGGATTCACAGTTTCCCTTTTTAATTCAACTGTTCCCTTACATTCCCAAGTTCCTTTGGGTTAGTCATTTTCTTCAAAATTTATTAGCTTCATTTAATTTTATAAAGATATATTCTTATGTCTATTAATTATTAACTCAGTTCATTTGTTCCATGTACAAAGATTACTGTAGCCAGATTGCAGCATGATTCAAAGCTGGAATTAGTGTTTCTATGTTTGTACCTGCTGTGGAGCCCATATATAGAGTCTTATCCAGTAGGTACTGGTGCTCTTTTTTCAGAGATAAAGTGGCCAGACAGAGTATGTAGCCGATAGTTACCTCTGTCTAGTGTGTGTATCTGTATTGCAGTTCCCCCATATACATGTATATCATCATGGCATGGTGCTTAGCCACAAGGAAAACAATCTCTCTGCAGTTCTATTATCACATTTTTGGAGACAGTAGTCTCTAATATCTGCACGTTATTGCTTTATATGATTCTGAGTCTGTATTTATTATCCACATTTCCAGCAATGTCTTGTCTGCTTTCATTTTTTTTCTTTCTTTCCTGAGAGGTCATTAATAATATTATGTTGCAGAATCCTGGTACTTTGTATGCCTGCGAGTTGCTATGCTATCAACTGCCAAAGATTGCGATCAGTGCCATCTCTAACACTGCGCACTTTGGAAGCCCTTGGCCACTCTGTGGTTCCTGTATCTGTGCAACATTGGATGAATCTGCCAGACTATGAGAAAATACCATATTTAATGCAAAATATTAAGGTCAAGTGTGAATCTTTGGATAGTAATGAAGCCATTGTGCATTAGACATTCAGTAAACCAGTAATTATTTAGCAGCCCAAGATTTTTTATGAGCTTTGAAACACTTGATTGTAAATGCCACTGTTCATTTGCTACAAGATCCTAAATTACAAATTAAGTACATGTGAATCAAAGGATATGTGAATGATACTGTGTGTGGTGTTTCTGTAAAATATTACCAACAAATAAATTACAGTTTCAGCTAGAAATCTTTTCATTCTATACAGTGAAAATATACTGCACAGATTTGTGAGGATTACTTTCATTGGCAAAGAAAAGATTTATCACGATTCTCTTATACATTGGAAGGGTTGCACAAAACCAGAATAGAAACTTTTTCAGTAATGTATGAGTTGTTCTTAATACCAGACAGTATTACTTAAATATGAAGTTCTGCTTTTTAGCAGTATTGCCTGAGGCATTGCAATATTTGTTATAACATTCCTTCTAAAGATCAGATTTAGTTCAGGTATGAAGGATGTGGTGTCTGAAGATAGAAAATACCGCATTATGAAAAAATGGAATGCTGTGAGTTAAATCGTTTTAAGCAGCTATTTTCTATTAATTTATTTAAAACTGATTAATAGTTTAACAGAAACCAGTTTTTTTAAAAAAAAGAAAGGTAGTGAATGTATCTATTAATAGAAGAACAAGAAGCATAAACTTTGAAATCAGAAGGTAAAAACAGTTGGTTCAGACAGTTGGCAGTCATCAATATAAAGATAAGTTTTAAAGTTAGGATTGCAGAATTATATTAGCAACAGTAATTAAATTGTGGATGTGATTTAAATAAAAACAGTTGACACTGACAGCAGTAGCATGGAAAGTTTGATAATAGTCTATGCTACAGAAAATATTGTTATTGGCACTAATTAACATCTTACTTTGAATTGCAGAGAACTCAGCCTTTTGAACTGGATATTAACTTTATAATTGCTATGAAACAAATATAGCTGGTGAATAGGTATTCCCTTTCTGTCAAAAGGGACTACTCCCAGGTGGTGTTCTGCTATGCTGGTACCAAATACACAAATCTGAATCCTATTTATTCACCATGCTCCAAATCTAGTGTTCACAGAAAAAGTTAACCTTTTTTTAGAATACATCACAATAAATTAAATTTGGATACAACACATTTTTCTGCTCTGGAACTAGATTTTGTATAATGTGCCATTGTTGAACTGCAAATTCCTGTCTCTTGCTAGGCATTAACTCTTACACAAGATGCAGCAGTATTCATCTCAAGATGAGGTTCTGTCACTTTAAGGGCATTACAGATATTAATTGAGTATTATTATGCTGAATAAAGAAACAGTGGTTTGTTGTAATTGTAATATTTTATATGACGAGCATGTGTGAATGGGCTAGATGGGTAAATATAATATAATACCAATCCATTAAACTCAGTGAATAGTATTTACATATTAAATGAATCTATGGCATGTCTGAAAGAAGTTTCAAAAATGTGTCCTTTAGCTTTGCCCATGTCTGTGTAACAACTTAACCACTGAACATATTTTCATGAAATTTTTGCTGCCTCATCATCACTCATTGCCCTGATGATGGAGGCAGTAAGTACCTCTGAAACATCAGTAAACTTCTACCAGACTACACAGCACAACAATCCAGAAAACAGCCATCCTCAAGGTTATGTCTTGTTCACATTGTTTTGGGTATGTTACAGATTAGCTTCACAATGTCCCATTTGTTTCCCTATAACAATTTCAGAACTGATGAATGAATTTTCATTAAGTTTCATATTGAGTTTTACTAAAATTTGTCAGCTCATTTGAATTTTGGTTAAAATCAGGTAACAATGAAACTAGTTAGGCTTATTAAGATATGTTTAAACGAAACATATAGTAAAATCTGTGCAGGTAAACATTTGTCTGATATGTTTCCTATTCAAAATGGTCCAAAACAAGGAGATGCTTTATCACCAATGCTTTTAAACTTTGCTTTAGAATATGCAATCAGGAAGGTCCAAGGAAACCAGGTGGGACTAATATTGAATGGGACATCAGTTTTCGTCTATTTTGATGATGTAAGTCTATTGCAGGGTAACATAAATACCATAAAGAAAAAAACAGAAGCTCTAATTGATGCTAGTAAGGAGGTTGGTCTAGAAGTAAACACAGAGAAAACTAAGTATATGTTGATGCCTCTTCACCAGAATGGAGGGGAAAGTCATTAATAGAGATAGCAAATGGATCCTTTGAAAATGTGTCAAAGTTCAGATATTTGGGAGTGACAGAACCAGATCAAAATTTGATTCATGAGGAAATTAAGGGCAATAAATTCGGGTAATGCATGCTACTATTCAGTTCAAAAGGTTTTGTCTTTTGTCTGCTGCGTAAAAACGTAAAGATTAAAATATACAAGGAATGCATACATGGTTTTGGTGGGCAAACAATAAGGAAAGAGACCACTAGGAAGACCTTGATGTAGGTGGGAGGATAATATTAAAATAGATCTTAGAAAAATTGAATGGTGTGATGTGAACTGGATGCATCTCGCTCAGGATAGGGACTAGTGGCAGGCTCTTGTGAACATGATAATGAGCCTTCCTGTTCCATAAATTGTTGGTAAATTCTTGAGTGGCTGAGTGAATACATGCTTATAAGAAATTGTTGGACTGTATCATAACTCCAGAATCACTGGAATGATTTTTGATCAAATTTCATACTGAAGGTTCTTGTTTTATACTTTTTGTTGAGAACATCAGAATTTAACATTCACAAGTTGAAAAGCTACAAGAAATAGCAGAGTAAATGCACCGGAATTACGCTATGCATATGTGCTGTAGAATATACCATTAGGAAGTCCAGATGAATCAGAAATGGCTGGAATTGAATGTTCTGTGTCAGACAGTTGTTTGTGATGAAAATCTTACTTTAGAGGAGAAGATAAATACCTGCAGAGTTCAACAGGCCAATAAAGAACTTTATTTAAAAATAAATATATGAACATGGCAGTAAACTACCATGTATCATGGTCAAGCAGTTAGCACTCTTGTTTGTATTCTGGTATCTGGGATTTGAATGTCCGCCTGAATGAGGCTTTTTAGGTTTACCTCAGTCCCTCCAAACAAATGCCAAGATAGTATCTTATATTAGGTCACAGCCACATCCTTTCTAATGCATCCTAACATTATCCTAATACTATATAATGAACTTCTGAAAGAGTTATTAAATTATTCATGAATAAAAAGATGACATGAAACATAAATCAGCAAGTCATAATATATGTCGTGATTAACACTAACAAATGGCAGTGAGGTCATGATGCAAAAGTAAAAAAGAAAAATCTAGACATATCTGTTGCTATTTAGCTCTAAAACGTACATGATCCCATCTTCTTTCCAAAACACTGAAGACAAAGATATACAAGAATTTTGCATTTATTTTGTGCAGGTATGAAACATCTTTCTTACTTTGGAAGAAAAATTAAATTGCAATTCTTTGAAAGCAAACTACTTGGATCCAAGAAGGATGCAGTGAGGAATTTGTTGTATAATGGGGAATTTGTAGTGGTTTATATAATGTGATTACTTCCTTACTATTAAATGTTACTGGTGACATGACAAACATATTGATGAAACCTTAAAATAATGGGTCTGTAGCACAATATTGCCTGCTGTTTCTATATAGATGGCAAGCTGGCAGAGGAAATTATCGTACAGGTTGTCATAAGTTCACAATTGGCACCTTTCTGTTTCTGATATGAATGTTATGCAGGGATGTCAGAAATGTCTAATGGGTGATTATGCTATTAGGGAGTGTCAAGTGCACACATTGATGCCTGCATGCAGGGGTGAGCTACAAAAGACTCAGGAAAACCCTTTGTCAAGTCTGGCTAATTATCTGAGCTCTTTGTTATCAGCACAGAAAATACATTAGAGGTCAAACACCAGCATCAAAATATCGATACACATACATTCATTTTTCAATAAATCTTACCTCTCCCTACTTCCAAATGCTAAAACAAAAAATATTTTGCGAACCTTGTTAACAAATTTGCAGCATGCCAATATGCATATGGTTAGTGACCCCTTATGAGACAAACTTTGGGGACATTTACCCACAGACAACATGCTAAAAATGTGTTTTGTTTTTACTGGGTTTATTTATATTAACTGAATAAACATTGGCTACAGTGAAGGTTTTAAAACTAATGGGCACAGATTTTTACACTGTAAATCAATGTTCTTTCAATAAGTATTTTTAAAATTGTTTTTGTTGATAAATAAATTCTGCTGTCATACAGAGGTACATGCAATTTAAATGCCATCTGGGTTGCACTAAAGAGATTAAAATCTCCAGTCTATGCAAGATTAAAGTGTGTACAAAATATCACTTAGTTTCTTAAATAGAAGATGAAGATATAATTTGACATAGAATAAATTTAACTTGTGATGACTAACTTCCTTGAAGGAAACTTATTTTTTGAAAGTGATCTAACCATCACCACTGATCTCAAATGCCTTGAAAGTCAGTCATTATTCTGTTATTTTTTCCTTTCTCATACAAGCCTTTTTTATCAGCCGGTCAGTAGTTATCATGCCTACTATTGGGCACGTGGGGAATCTATTCTGTCTGATCCAGTCTCATTTTATTCGTTGGAAGTTTGCAGTTATTACATGCATCAGATAAGGACTGATTATGATCCAAAGATTAACATCTGCTGAAAGTAATGATTTAAGCTTTCATGTGCTAAGCTTCAGGCTGATAATTAAGAGATTGAGCATGTATTTGTTGGTAACCTCTCCTGAGCCTCTTCAGTTGACAAACTACGATTTCTGACCATATTATTAGAAGTGTACATATAATGGAAACTAAGTTTCAAAAGGCCTTGTATCTCAAGCTATTTCTATACCCATGGGTCTGTCAGAAAGAGTTAATCTCTATCACTGGACCACATGGACGATAGAAAAAGTCCAGATAGCGAATATTTTTAAGTTTTAATCTTTAACTACCTTCACCATCCCAGGTTTTATCACATTTTGCATTCAAGGCAAAAGGTCATGTGATGTATGCATGAAGCATGGTCAAGCCAAACTGAAATGTTGCAATGTTATCTCTTTTGTAGACTTACTTAAGTTTAATTAATTTGCTTTGGTGTCGCTCCATATCTAGCAGATCATGATGTAGTGCTTATGATTGTGCTGCAGGCATTGCAATCTTACATAGCCAATAATATCTAATGAAAAATGTTCTTTTAGATGTCATAAATATTGGATACAGGATTTAAATTTCTCCAATGTTGTCTCTTTTCTTTAGCCAAACTTGTAACCTAATTACCCTACAATATACCTTGCTCAGGATGACTGATCATTATACCAAAATACAATTTTATCAGAAGTTTGTGTTGAATAGTACAACTGGATAGGGACAAAGAACTTCATGGTGTGCCATTGCTGTATTCATGACCACATTGCTGCATGTATTCACTGTGTCTGGTATGTCTTATCACATTCACATTTGAAGACTAACAAAACGTCAAAATGTATTTACAGTATTAATTTTTCTTGGGACAACACTACACAAAATACTGTATGGTCCAAGAGAGTGGAAATTCATCTTGGCTCAATCAGGCACTTTTATACATTCCTTAACTCTTTGCTTTCACTAGTTAAAGGTTAAGTTTGGAAAATGTTTATGCTCTTTGCTTTTGACATAAGCAGATGTTGATGTTTTGTTAAATTTTCCTCTACAATTATAGCACTTCTTCTGATGTATAAGGAATAATTATCTCTCTCTCTCTCTCTCTCTCTCTGAAGTTTTCTGTTTTTTTCTATTTTTAATGCTCTTGGAGCATTTGCTGTACAATTCTTGATAACTGTCTTGCATCTCTCTGACCAGACGACTGGAAATACATTTGATTTCATATGCATATGTTTGCTATGCTTCAGTTTTTCATTAACATCTTCAAGCAATGTCTACCTACATTAGATCAATGTATCTCTGTCCAACAGTCTGTTTTTGCAGATGCTAATAATGGGCATAAAATCATGTGAAGTTGCCTTTATTTTACTCTAAAATTAATATATGAGCTCTCAAATTTCCTATCATAATCTGTTTATGTGTCAAATATATCTTCTCTGGAACAACTTTCATTGTATCTCAGACATGCTGATATTTGTCATTTTGACTGCAATACTCAGCACTACTCTTTGTTTTGGCTATGGCTTGTACCTTTTAATATAAACAAAATAATTATATATATAAATCTAAGTGAGTAATCACTTTCTCTAATTGTAGTTACTTCAATTGACTTAATATTCATAAATTATCCTCATGTATAAAAGAATGACACAATTTGTGGCACCAGACATTGACAATACAAGGACAAGTAACATATTACAAGGAAACTTTAAAGGCTGACAACATTCACACATAATTCTTAGAACATAAATAATCAGATTTGACAATGTATCTGAAGATCTTTATCACAGTGCTCTTCTGAAAACTTCCACATTTGAAGTTGATATAGGAAAAGTAAGCATGTAAATGTATAAAGTACTTAACCTCAAATGTTTGATTCATTACAATACTGCTGCCTTCTTATACAGTTTTTGAAGATTTGAACTTACCACTACATCTTCCATTTCCAATGAAAGTTTTTAAATCTAAAATTGCGTTTACTTATGGACAGGTCTAAAGTCATTCTAGACTACCATTCCCAATATGATGTACTTACTGTGCTTTTTAGTCTATGGAGTACCTGTATAGTTAACACAAATATTAAAATAAAATGTGAAGTCTTAGTTTGAGTGTTAAGATTTATTAACAGCAGGATTATGAGAATGTGTACAACCTTTATTAAAACAGAGAGAAAACATGTTTATATGCAGATTAACAATAACAAAAGCACATATTTACTGATTAAAATATTTATTAAGTGTATTAATTTTTATTAAATCAATCAGTGCAAATCTTCTGTTCATTAAGAGAAACTAAATTATGACTGAAAGCAAATTCTGTCAAGCAGCTAATAAAAAATAAATGATACATATTATTTAACAGGTACACATTAAAATGTATGCTGGTGCTCTGAAATTTGAGGTGGGCTGTTCAGAAACCACCTCGGAGGCGAAGAACCAAATGCAGGGTTGATTCTTTCTGGATGTTGTAATCTGATAAGGTACGGCCATCCTCCAATTGCTTGCCAGCAAAGATAAGTCGCTGCTGGCCAGGAGGGATACCTTCCTTGTCCTGGATCTTTGCTTTCACGTTCTCAATGGTATCAGCTGGCTCTACCTCCAGAGTGATGGTCTTCCCTGTCAGGGTCTTCACAAAAATCTGCATGCCACCACGCAGACGCAGTACCAAGTGGAGAGTGGATTCTATATACAAAACAAAACATGTCACTCTAATCCAGATGTGATATTCTATCAGTATAACAGAGATTATAAATCCTTTCACAAAGACACTTCAACAAAAAGCTACCAAACAAGTGGAAGACCTCCCAATCATAAAACATTTCAGAAAGATGTGAAGCAGAACGTTTGGAACAAAGAAAGAACAATAATTATACCAGTCTGGTCTACTTCCTTTCAATTTCCTATTCTGTCTTGAGGGGGGGAGGGGTGAGATCACTAATAGTATGCAGTCATTCAAGATAAATGTCACATCACAAACTGTTACAGGCACATTTTATTTAATTAACACCATTTTAAGGAATACCTTCTTCGTGCAGAGCAATACTGAATTCACTACATTAACAGAAGAAAGAATCATTACACTATAAATGTTAGTACTAGAATCTTAATGTAGGAATACAATAATGCCATCAGTCGCTAAAGTAGTCTTCCTCAATGGGACTTCATGCACCCTGCATGCTTTAGGGGTCTGCAAGTTAAACAGATTTTGCTCTTTTATTTTCTCATGTAGTGCTGTAAATTTTAATCTTCCTTTTATCACTTTTTTACTTCCACATTGGATTGAAAAAGGAATTACAAAAAAAATCTATATCTGCCATACAAATTTTAGTAGTATAAATTATAATTAAACAAAATATATGACAATGTTTTTGAGGGGTTCATAATACCAAATTTGTTGGTGAGGGAAGGGGTGGATTGAGAGCACCAGAAAGGTTGATAAGCACTGTGCTAAATGATCAAAACCAATGGACAGGATGGCCTCCAAGTAAAATGATGTCATGCAAGTTTTATGAAAATCAATGTCCATAATATTGATGTATATGACGGAATGCAGATGGAAACAAAGCAGCCAAGTGACAGAGTTGAAGAAACACGATTTCTTCAGAAATGTAAAATGCAATGCAAAGAGGTAAAGAAATTTCCCTGATATTTGAAACTGGTACTAAAATAATTCATGCTTGCACACTTTGACACAAGTAGTGAGAGTGGGGAATATTAGGTTCACTGCAAAGAAAGTCTCATTTTTGCATGCCCTTTAGTTCACTTGTGGTGGGGTCCACAAACCTGCATCTCTCAGCAGATCATGTCTTTTATACTTCTGCTTGATCTTCTTGTCACAGGTGGCAAGAGTGGGAAGATGCTAGGTAAACTGCAGAGGCTCATTTTCACATGCACATTTACTCAGCTGTGGTAGCAGACAAAAGTCATGTGTATCGCAAGAATTACGGATTAATTCTTTCCATGATGTCCCAGTGAAAAAATCACCATGAACAATGCTATAATTTGTATCACCACTCACTCACTCTATGTGCAGGATATTGCATACTAAGCTAGTCAAATAATAGCCAATTTTCTTAATGGAACCTGAAGGTTCATTATCACGTTCACAAAAGCCTGAAACTGGACTCTATCCTGAGCTAGCTGCATTCAGTTCCCTCCAATGATTCCTATCTTTGCAAGGTCTATCTTAATGTTATCCTCCCACCTACACCTAGGTCTTCCCAGCAGTCGACCCCCTTCTTTCCTCAAAACAATTACCTTGTAAACACAACTCCCCTCCTGCATGTCCTGCCCACCTTATCCTCTTCGATTTAATTGCCCAAATAATATCATGTGAGGAAGACAGGCCATGAAGCTCATCATCATGAAATTTTCTTCAAGATGTCTACCTGCCTCTTAGGTTCAAATATCTTCCTCAACACCCTCAAAGACCCGACCCTTAATCTATGTTCCGCCCTCAAAGTTAAAGACCAAGTTTCACAGCCATACAGCACAATTGGCAGAATAACATTTCTTTTATTTTAATCTTTAGTTTTTTATATGAGATTGGAGAAAAGAAGATTTTGGACTAATGATAGCAAGTATTCTCTTAATTTAATCTGATCTTAATTTTGTCATAAATGTCGTTCTGAATTGTGTCGCCCTCAAGTACGTACATTTTTTTTATCACATGACACACTCACTATAGCTTGATAATAACTTGCAGTCTTCCTGAATATTGTAGTTTGTTGCACACAAGAACTGGTGTCCATATTCTTTGCTCTCTGTGGATCATCCTCCACGAAATCCAACAATGATCCTGACTGCTACTGCACAAATGAGTGAATGTGCATGCAGGAATTTTGACACCAACTCTCCCAAGGAATGCAAAGAACAAGTGAGTAAATGGGCATGTGAAAACAATATCATCTGTGCAGTGAGCTTAACAATGCCCCTAAACTCTTAGCACCTATGTTCACCGGCACAGTAGTTGATTTTTACAGAAATTTCGAATTCTCAGAATTTGTTTACATTACTTCATTGGAAAATATCAAGTGACTTTTAAGGGGTGGAAACTTATGTAATGCATTCAAATGCTTCACATAGTAACCCTCTTTCACCTTTCTGTATATTGTAGTCAGAAAGTGTACGACCATCTTCCAACTGCTTTCCTGCAAAAATTAAACGTTGTTGATCAGGAGGAATTCCTTCCTTGTCCTGAATTTTTGCTTTAACGTTTTCAATGGTGTCAGACGTTTCCACTTCAAGAATAATGGTTTTTCCAGTGAGAGTCTTCACAAAGATTTGCATCCTGTCAATACAAAATTCAATACTTCACCAACTTCTCCAAATGTATAAAAGCACAAATGAAAGTACAGTAAACCCTTGTCCATCATCATGGACAGAACCCTCAAGAATGATCAGTATATAAATCTATGAAAGATAAACTAAACATGTACTCTAAGGTAATGTCCTACGTGAGCGATAAGAAGCGAGCTATGCGAGCTGTATAAGCAGCCTCGGGTGTCATATGAAGCGAGGTAATCGCTTGTTGTGTCCTGCGTGAGAGACGCGGGGGGCGGGGCGGCAAGACATTAGTATCCACGATGGCTTGGTCAGGTAAACGTGACCTTTTGCTCGCGGAAAGTGCGTTCTTGAAAAGGTTAATAGTTAGGAAAAGGAAGGCAGCCGAAAGGAAAAGATCACCAACAAACACCATTTACTTGGGGAGGGAAATGTATGGTGAATTTCACCACTTGTTTGAGCAACTCAGAAGCAATTCCAGAGGACCAAAACTGTTTTACGAGTATGCAAGAATGCTCCCTAGCACATTTGATTACATTGCAAATGCTATTAGGGATCAATTCGATTACCGTATGACAAATTTTCAACGACCTATATCATTGGAGGAGAGATTGATGTTGACTCTCAGGTAAGAAAATGAAACGGTGATTGCTGTGTTCTGGGTTGTTATGCCGTAATGTCTGGTAGATGTCCATCAACGTTTCAG